TCAAGGCCAATGAGAGTATATAGTAGTCTAAGTCAAGCTTATGGTTTCAAGTTAGAGTGATTTAGAGGTTCGAATGGTAGAGATCATGCTTATGTTAAAAAAATGGTGAAAAGCAGTTCAAGTGGTGATATCTGCTATGTTGATGAGATTTAAATGAAATATGTCATATGTGCTATGTTAGAAGATATATTATGCTTTACTTTCATGTAGTTATATATGTGATAGTTAGTAATAGTGAGTTATTCCATTACTAAAATTATTATCTCATTCCCATGGTTACATTTTCACAGGACAGAGCATTGATAAAGGCAAGGAAAAAAAGTCTAGACTAGTATAGTTGTGTCGTGGTCGTGTACAAGCTTTAAGTTTATATAATGAACCAATTTAGTGTGAATTTTGTATATCTAAGTTGCCATAGGGTTGCATGCATGATTTGAATAGTTATGAGTTATTGAATGTAGAAATTGTGGTGAATATCATGAGTTTTGGTGAATCTTAGCCCATATGTAGAAATGAATAATTTAAGACTAAGATTGAGTTGTGATTATATTGTAAATGTTTGAATAGTGAATATATGGTGGAATTGTAGTGAAAATGGCTAAGGGATCAGTTTATACTAAGTTGTGCCAAATTTATGACATGTGAACATGGGCTGTTGACTTCTTGGCCCAAAAAAAAATTGGCCGTTGAGAAGTCAAATTTTAGTATATGTGAATATATGTGATGAAATGTGATTAATCAGGTGTGTTAAGTCCTTTTGGACTTGATTTAAAGCCTTGTATGATCTAATGAGATAAATAGATCAATTTAAGTGCTAGGGTGCACGAAATTCTTTTAAGAAAATGACTTTTTGCACCCAAGCATCTAAATTTTGATTGAGCTATTAGATCATGTCCAAACCTCTCATTAGCTAACTTATGAGATAAGTTTTGTGTGGGCGCTTGAATCACTCCAATCGGACTTTGCATGTAAAAATAGTGCATACCAAAAATTCATCATTTTTGCTGTTAAATAATAACAGAAAATTCAGATTGGTGCGTCGTGGTACATGACACAAAAGGTTAGGTATGTGGCTCTATGCTACATGCCGCAGCACATGTATTGCACATTGCGGCGTATGGCCTAAATTTAGATCGTTTCTTTACTTTGGATACATGAAATTTTTGTTATGAATGCTTATAGGTTGTGTCTACTGTGCATTATTCAAATGTATTATGATTTGGCAAAATGAGTTTTAGGCCCAAGCTTTTCAAACAAAGTTTTAAATTAATATGGTGATTTAAGTGTGGTGATTTAATTAATCTTCTCTTGTATCTGGTGAATATAGAAGGATGTTATAGTCTTCTAAGAGGACGGCTTGTTATCGGGGGCCATAACAAGGTCTCATTGTCATAATCATTCCACCCTAAGTCATTCAGCTTCGGCATGTCATGAGTATCAATTGCCATCATAGTCATATTATATATTTTCTCTTGTGAACTAGCTTTGTAACACTCTTCAACATGTGTGTACACATTACCTCTAACATATTTGATAGCTGCATATGCATGTGACTAGACATTTGTCATGCCTTACAAGTACACTCCCTCATTGCAAGATTGACAAACATATGAACTTCTCTAAGTATAATCTCAAACATATGGTATGAATATTGTACAACTACCATCCTCTCTGCACGCAATACATGCTCCTTCAATTTAGCTTCTATGTTAGAGCCAACTCCATTACTCCACAACTTGATTGCTTCCTTGCTAGAAAATCATTGTCTCACCTTCAAAATGGAAACCTTGATAATGCCTAACGATCAAAATCACCATGATTTTCAATTCACTTGCCTAGTTGAGAGCTAAAAAAATGCACATTTGCCATTGCTTTATCAAGCTCACCATCAAATCTAGCATATGCAATTGCATCCAACAATTTTAAGTGAAACTAACATCTAAATGGTGGCCAAACTCTTAAAAGTATTAAGAAAAGAGTAAAATAAATACATATATATCATTGATCACAAAAAGAGAAGAGAAAAAAGTGTTAATTCAATAAGGGTTTCAAATAATCCTAGAATAAATAGTTTAGCCACTCATAAGCATCCCAAACCATAAATACACAAAATATTTGGACCCATTTTAAATTACAAGAGAGAAAAGCAAATAGAAATAGAAAAACTAAAGAAAATGAGCTTCAAAGGTCTTCAAAGCTTCAATATCTTAATCCTAACTCTTTCAATGCTCAAACTCTAGCACTACTAAGCTTCAAATATGTCTCAAAGTGTGTAGAATCCTTCTGAATCGAGTTAACAACATATATGTATCATACCTAAGCATTTTCAGATAAATAAAATAGTGTTTTGCTAACAATTATAAAAGTTGCAAACAAAGTCGTGACTTTGAAACAACTTGGGGTAGTTTTGTTGGACCCAGCTTTTCTCCATTTTTTTTTCATTTTTTTCTCTCTCCACTTCCTGTCCACTTTCCATCTCAACCGTCAGATTCATTTTTGAACGGTTGAGATTTGATGTTTCATAAAATTATTATTTAAATATAAAATTTTATAAAAAATGAATATAATAATAATTTTATGGAACATCAAATCTCAACCGTTCAAAAATGAATCTAACGGTTGAGATGAGAAGTTGAGAGGAAGTGGAGAGGAAAAAAAATGGAGAGAAGCCAAGTCCAGTTTTGTTTTCACAGTTAACAAAATTTATCCTTTTTGCACTTGATTTTTTCATCCAAAAGCTTTCTAAAAGCATCAATAAGGGTCTAGAAATACATCGAATCAAACATTAAACCAAAACAAGACAACATTAGCTCAAAAGTATTAAATTAGAAACAAATGATCAAACCCAAAGCAAATATACATATTTTCTTAATTTAGGCAATCAAAATATAAACAATTGAGCTAATCTAAGAAAAATGTGCTCAAATGACATGAAATTCTAGAGATTATCAGTTATAAAATAATCTCATGCTCAAAATATACTTAATCATTTCACAATAAGACCATGAGTGTAAAAAATCCTTCTCATTTAGACAAGTTTGTCAAAAGATAAGAGCCACATGCTTAATTGTAAAAAAATAATCCCTAGGTTAGCACCATATACATTAACTACACAAATGAGGCCTAACAAAAGAGTTGGTATCCCATACACTAATTTATGCCTTTGGTGCTTCTCTAGCTTAACTCTTTCTTGTAAAAATCTTAATCACAAAAAATGAGACACAAAGGTTCCGGTAGCTAATACTAAGATGATATAATGCATGCAATACAATTAATCATGCCATTGTTAAGTGGGTTATGCAAAATGGTTTCCAAACAAGTATATTGTAGGTAAATTTGAACAAACCAAACAAATCAAATGCATAACTATCAACCTTTTATCCTCCTTTTTCCAGATTGAAATCCACACTTAAATAGAGTCAGAAATAAAGGCCGAACTTACAGAGCTAGGTCAGAGGCCCTGTTTAAATAAGGGTTCAAGCTTTGAGAATTAAAATTTTTTAAAGTAACTGAGCTTGAGGGCTTGACTCTGATAAGCCCTACGAAAGAGGATTCGGACTTAGGCAGCTCTTTAAATCCTGTTATATTATTATTAATTTTTTCTTTAGTGGAACACGCGTTTGAAGCTAAGAAGGACCTGCTCGCTTGAAGCCCTAATTCTACACGCATTATATTATTATTAATTTTAATTTATTTTAAGATTAATTTAATATAATTTAATAAATATCAGTATACAATATAAAAATTCTAATATCTTTTTATTTTTCTATAATTTATGTTTGTGTATTTATAAAAAATGAACTATTTTTTTTAACCAAGATATGAATTTTCTTATTAGACTTCTAAATGTGCATTGTTTAATTTCTAAAAGATTATGATAATTTTTATTTTTTTTTAAATTTTAGAATATTTTAATTAATTTATAGTGCTTAATTTTATTTTAATTTTTTTTAGAATAGGGTTTATGGGCCAAGCCTTGAACCCTTCAAAAAAGCGTTAGGTCTCAAAAAGGGGTGAAAAATAAAAAACTAAGTCTCAAAAAGGAGTGAAAAATGAGAAATTAGGCTTAAAGGTTCAAACCTTTATCGGTTGGGCTCATAAGGGTTGAGTTTGCTCTTTTTTTAACTCTACACTTAATGCTAACTAACTCAGCCAAAGGTAGGTTAGACTAAACCTTGACAAGCCACTCATTGAGTCCAATAAGAGTGTACCATATGCACGGGACAAATTTTTGCATAATAAAATAACCAAACAACTTCCAAAACCCATAGAAGTCATATGTATGATATTTTCCAAATAAGGATCGTTTTCAAAGAATTAAATCATATTTCCAACAACATTTATTTCATATCTAACATACATATATGTATTTATCATCCTACTTGGCAATAGGATTTTCAAACATTAAATATACATTTTCAAATATTTTTAAAGACAATAGTTTCCAAACAATGCTCAATTTCAAAAAAAATACATGCAGCTAATCATAAAACACACACAATAGCAAATTAATAGAAGTTACTTTTGCTCCTTGCAACTAAACTTTTCCTCACAAGTGTTCTCTCAATTCTAACAATGTTAACTCCACAGTTTACATAACATTTAATACCAAACATAATTAATATTTGTAATTAAACATTAATTATATTTTAATCTTAAAATTAGATTAATTAATCTTGTTAACCTATACTCTTCCAAACACTTGAACCTCAAGCTCTACTTGTCATCACCATTAGTCAACCCTTAAATCATTAATTGGCATTGTCATTAACTTAATCTCCTTTAAGCAGTTTAAGGTTTTGGAGTAAAGCCTACCATTCACATTTCTATAATCAAAACAACTTCATAAACACTTATTAATTTTAAGCAAGTATAAAAATTCAAACCCAATGGCTTGAGAAACCCCAAACACAAAACCCTAACATCAACCTACATGAAAAAGAGACTAGAGGGTAGAAGCTGAGTTTAGATAAGATACCTTAATGATTGGAGGAATTTTGGTCCTTTCCTTTTAAAATATAATTTCAAATTTCAAATTATTTGTAATTTTAGAGTCATCTGGGACGCTCGACGGCTATTGTAGTTGCAGGGCTTGGAGCCGGAGGAATTGCGTCATGCCCTCACGCAACGAGTCACCACCTCCCCAACGCTGATGCTTTGGCCTAATATTTTGTTGTAACAAACGATAGAGTAGAGCATTGCAGTCCATCTGGAATCGACAAATATACGACGGTACGCTCGGTATTCTGTTCCTCGATTGCCATGGAGAGCTCGGGCAAAGATGAGGCACCTGTATTACTTGACCGGACTTCACGAGTCACCAGAGGGAAAAGGATGACAAAGCTGCTTGATGACGAAATTGAAGAGGATGAGTTGTTCTGGAATCAGGATGCTCTTAAAGAGGTGAATATCTTTCTGCTATTTTATTTATTTACTTATTTATGATTAGGGATCAACGTTTCAACAACAAGCATAGTTAGTATGGAATTTGGGGAAGGGGTCATTAAATTTTTTTTTTTCTAGTCTATCTCCTGGGTTGCAGTGTGAAGATTGAAAGAAGCGAAGGGTCTTTTGGGCCAACCCAGCATCCATGTTTTGTTAAGGTGATGCTTGAATTATTCCTTACCTGTCAGAAAGGTCTTTTAGAGCTTCCCAGGAGTCTACTTTTTTAAGGTGATAGATGTTGGGGGTTTGAGTTTGAGAAGTTTTTAAAAGATATTTTTGGTAGAGTGAGGAATAATTCAAGTAACAGCTTAGAGAAAGCTGGCTTCTACTACAGTATGTGGGTTGGCTCAGTCCGAAAGACCTCGGTGGGTGGGGTGAGGACTGTTCCTTCCTTCTTTTTTATGTTCAGTGGTGGAGCTCATCTTTTTACGGATGGAGGGGAACTGTTACTATATTTATAAAACGATAAGAGTTTAAAGCTAGTTTTGTTTTTTTTTTTTGTATTTTTTGTATTTTTTTTACTTTTGAGATTATTTTCTTCTACTGGGTGTTGAGTCCCAAAATGTTATGTTCTATAGACTTATTGATTATTAATATGTTACTAATTTTTAACACGTTACTGTTATTCTTGGCTTTAGCTTTTAAAAGAAGGGGCACTGGCTAAGGTGATCTGCTTCATGCGTAATTGTAAATTTGTGTTTTGCAGGAAGAAAATGATGATAACTATGAAGAGGAGCCAGAAATTGCTGATGAATTTGATAGCGATTTTGATGAGGATGTGAGTTACAAGTGCCTGTCTATGATTATGTGCTAAAAATATTGTTTAATTTGTAGCTTAGATATGCAAAGGGATACTTGGCGTAATTCTTTTTCTTTTATTGATGTAGCTGTTTCATTTGTTCTTGATAATATTTAGTGCTAATAATGAATTTTAATGTCCTTAGGAACCTGAGCCTGATGAAGAAGGTGAAAATGATGATGTTGAAAGGTAAATCTTTTTATCTCTTGGCCCAAACTTGTAATGTCCAGATTTTGGTTTGGTGATATGCTAATCTATCTAAAGCGGGATTTTATATAGGGTGCCAAAAAAGAAGCGATTAATATTTCCAGGGAAGAGATTGCCTAAGAAGAAAAAGAAGAAAATCCTGTCTAAATTGGAAAATGCTACTGAGGATGATAAAGCAGCTGAACAGTCTACAGCAGAGGAGCATCATGACATACCGGATGATGCAGGGGAGAGAATGATAAGGAAGTCCACTAGAACTTCAGTAATAGTTAGGCAAGCTGAGAGAGATGCAATACGTGCAGCCCTTCAAGCAACAATGAAGGTCAGTCATATTTCTAACCCTCATAGTTGCTATGCATGCATGAGAACGCACCCTTTATTCTTATTGGATATATGAGAGTTTCATTCCTTTTCTGAATTGTGCTGCTTCCTTCTTTCATTTACATAACCCAAAGTGGTCAATATTTTTTTTTCCTTTTTTCTTTTGGGTGGACATAGTGATTTGGTATTTTGTCATTCTGCAAATCTTGCTTAAGAGAGATTTGACTGCTTTTGGATGTTAGCTTGAAGAAGTTATGTCCAATGGTAGGGTAGTAGGGTAGGTATGTTATATTTTTATGTGACAATTCACTAGGTTGGGTACTGAGGTAGTTGAGCTTCAATCTTCTCTGTCTTTTGCTTGAACTGACTAAGGTTTTGAATAATGTTCAAACTAATCTATTACATGCTAATAAAAATGAAAAAAATGCTAACTCGCTTTTTAGAGTGCCAGGTTTTGGCATAATGGCTTTTTTGTTTTCCTTTTTTACTCTCGTAAAGTTATAGCTGTTTCCAGTTTGCAGTTGTACGAGGATTGGTTAACTTATGGTATCAATTAATATTCTAAAATAAATTGCATTGAAGTTCAACAATATGTGTTAGCTTTGGAAATCAAATTTACAGAAAATGAAAAGTAAAAGAGTGTGACATTATGAAAGAAGTGAAGAAAATGAAGGGATCATTTCTTCTCATACCTGATGGTGATTCCATCCAATGTTTCCTTCTTTTATGCATTCGAACTGTGCATATCTTATGTACTAAATTTTTTTTATATCTGTTGCTAAATCCACTGCATACCAAAAATGCTGATGTGGGTTTAGAAGTTTCTGACAGTTTTTGCAATTAAACAATTTAATAATATATTATGTAAAATTACAACAATAGAGGACTGACAGTATGTCTTGACCGTTGCCAATGATAACAATAGCGGTTGCTCCATCTAGATATCTTTCTCTGGATTTGATGAACGCTTTTTTTGATATCAAAGCTGGTGAAGTGGCCAGTGTTTAAAAATGGCAATATATAGTATAATGCTGTCATTGAGATGTCATTGCCAATGAAAATGTTTGGTTTTCCTTTTAAGCTTGAAATTGCTGTACCCATAAAAAATTAGGAATCCTATGTCAGCCTGACCATGTCAGTGTTGGTTCCAAGCCTCTGACATGTCTAAAGTCTGATTTACCCACTAAATTCATTGGTCTTCTTCCAAGTCTCATGGTCCTCCATTGACACCCTCCAAATTCAATCTTTACCCTTCCAATCTTCCACTAGTCTCCATCCTTGGCAAGAACGCTTCATATAATCATTTGTCTTTGAACTAGATCCGCTACCATCATGCCAGATCCATTGTCTTCACACCTTCACATCTACCGTCATCAAACCAGATCCTTGCACTTTTGCATCTTCCCATCTATTAGTCAGTGGAGGTTGAGGACCTAAACCTGCCAATAGCTCCCAAAAAGCTCATCAATCCTCCCTTCTCCTAGAAGGCTAGAGCACATTACACATCCATGGTCCAGCCTTCAAGTAGGTTTTGTCTGTGATTGTGTTCTCATTTGATTTTGTAAATCAATATGTGTAGCAATTCACTGTGTAAAAATGCGTATATTGACTGAAAGAGAATATACAGATATATAGAAGTAAGTGTGTGACTATCTCTTCGAGAATCATGGAGCTAGAATCAGATCTGGGTATCGCACAATATCTCCTAAATAAATAGTCAATTATCTCCCTGATATCTACCCAAAATATACTTGTAATAATATATACAATTAATATTTATAATAAGTATTAGGTTTGACCACACTCCCCCTCAAGTTGGATTGTAGATGTTAATCATATCCAACTTGCTCATACAATTATCAAATGATGGCTTATGTAGACTTGGTTAACATATCAGCAACTTGGAGTCTAGTTGGTAAGTAGATGAGGCACACAACTCCTTCTTCAACCTTTTCTCTTATGAAGAAGTGTCTGTTAATCTCCACGTGCTTAGATCATTCATGTTGAATTGGGTTTAATGCCATGCTAATTGCTGCTTTGTTATCACAGTAGAGTCTTAATGGAAACTCTACTTGGATCTATATTTCCTCCAAGACATGTCTTACCTATAATATTTTAGTGATGTCCTGAGCTAAGGCTCTCAATTTTGATTTTGCACTACTTCTTGAGACTACTCTCTGTTTTTGACTTTTCCATGTAACAAGGTTGCCCCATACGAATGAGCAATATCCTGATGTTGACCTTTTATCTTTGTATGCTCCTCCCCAGTCTGCATTTGTATAGATCTCAATAGACTGCAGGTTTTGTTTCTTGACTAATAGCCCCTTTCCAGCAGTTCCCTTCAAGTACTTCAAAATTCTATGTACAACTTCCATGTGTCTCTTTCTTAGATCACACATGCACGGGCTTGTAACGCTTATAGCAAAAGCTATATCTGGCTGAGTGTGTGAGAGATAGCTTAACCTCTCCACTAATCTTTGATATCTTTCTTTGTCTATTGGTTCATTTCCTTCCTCATCCAGCTCTTCTTCTAATTCATCTTCTTCTTCCTCTATATCTTTCTTTTGTTCTTTTTTCTTCCTTTTTACTATAATGGGTGTATCTACTGGTTTGCACCCCAACATGCCTATCTCAGTCAATAGATCCATAATATACTTTCTTTGGGACACATAAATCCCATGCTGTGACCTCGCAACTTCCATGCCCAAGAAATATTTCAAGTTGCCAAGATCCTTCACTTCAAATTCTTGACTTAGAGCCTTTTTTATTTTGGTTCCTTCCTCCTCGTGATCACCTATAATGATGATATCATCAACATATACGATGAATATGCACCTTTTTCCACTTTCAGACTTCACAAACATAGTATGATCAGATAACTCCTGCTTATACCCTTCAATTCTCAAAACCTTTGAAAATCTATCAAACTAGGCCCAAGGTGATTGCTTTAAACCTTACAAAGACTTTTTCAATCTGCACACTTTGTTGGGTTTTCCTGCATCAAAACCTGGGGGCAATGTCATGAACACTTCTTCCTTTAAATCACCATTTAGGAAAGCATTTTTAATATCCAATTGGTGCAGCTGCCAGTCCATGTTTACGGCCACCGAAATCAAAATTCTGATGCTGTTAAGTTTGGCTACAGGTGCAAATGTTTCTTTGTAGTCCAAACCATAGGTTTGAGTAAATCCTCTTGCCACTAATCGTGCTTTCAGCCTGTCTAGGTTACCTGCAGCATCATATTTAGGGTTAAAAACCCACTTGCATCCCGCAACATTCTTCCCTTGAAGTAGCTCTACTATCTCCCAATTGCCATTTCGTTTTAAGGCATTCATCTCCTCCATCACAGCATTCTTCCACTTTGGTATACTGAGTGCCTCGTGTATATCTTAAGGAACCCTCACCTTATCAAGATTGGTTACAAAGGCACGATACTGGGGAGATAAAGTATGATAACTTACAAATCTTTGAATAGGATGTTGTGTGCAGGTTTTGGGTTGTTTTCTGAGGACTATAGGCAGGTCCATATCACCAGATTCTTCAATTTCAGCCCCCCCATGTTCACGTAGGGGACTCTCACTTCCCTCAGTCTCAGCTCCAGGAACCTCTATTGGCTCAGATCCTGGTTGTGCTTCAGGCATAATAGTTTCTTTATTCCTCCACGTTTTTCTAGAGTAAACTGCTGGTGTCTTCTCCAGTGCACTACCTGCATTCTTATTATGCTCTGAGAGACTTTTCACTTCAATTTTTGGCTTAAAAGGTTGGATCTTAGGCTCAGTGGGTTTTTGGACAAGGAAATTAGGATCTGTCAGTTCTGGAAGGGAGTTTTCTGGTGCTGTAAGTGTTCTTTCTGATATCAGAAGAGATTCAGGAATTTCAGAAATAGTATCCAAAAGCTGAAAGTCATTCACGTCACTCCCCCTCTCCCCCTGAATTGAGGCTTTTGGGTAGAAAGGTTCAGTTTTGACAAATGTGCATCCTTACTAATGTACAGGCGTCGGGCATGAGGATCAAAGCATTTATAACCTTTTTGAGTTGATGAATAGCCCAGAAAAATACACTATACAACTTTTGGTTCCAATTTGTGAGAAAAGTGAGAGTGAACAAAAGAGGTACAGCCAAATATTTTAAGAGGGAGATTGGTGTCAAGATGGGCTATGGAATGGGACTCTCTTAATTTTTCAAGAGGTGAAACATAAGAAAGGACACGGCTAGGTAAACGATTTATTAAATAAGTTGCTGTGAGAATAGCATCTCCCCAAAAATATTTGGGAACATTATGGGTGAAGAGTAATGCCCTTGCAACTTTCAAAAGGTGTTTGTTTTTTCTCTCTGCTATACCATCTTTTTGGGGAGTGTTGGGGCATGTACTCTTATGGACAATTCCGTGTTCTTTGAGAAAAAGATTCATTGATTGATTAAAATACTCAGTTCCATTATTGGTGTGAAGGACTTGAATGGTTGTATCAAATTGATTTTTGATCATTGTGTAAAATTCAAAAAACACGGATGGGACATAGGACTTGTCATGTAACAGATAGGTCCAGCACATTCTCGTATGATCATCAATAAAGGTGATAAACCATTTTGTATTAGAGCGATTAGGAATACGAGCAGGACCCCACAAATCACTGAATAATTGAAAAAGGATGGGTAGACTTATTTTCCACAGGTTTGAAACTAGATCTTTGATGCTTGGCCAATTCACAATCAGTACAATGGAAAAAAGGAATTTTATTTGATTGAAATTCAGGAAATAAGCGACATAAGTATTGGAAATTTGGATGACCCATTCTCTTATGCCGTAACATAAGATCTTTAAAATCTTTTTTCTCAGATGTAGATGCAATATTGCACTGAATTTGAGACCATAGGTTACTCACGGTTGATTTGTCAAGATAATAGAGGCCATTATGCTCCTTAGCACTCCCAATCATTTTCCCCGATAAGAGGTCTTGAAAAATACGATGAGTTCAGCAAAAATGAGCCCAACAACTTGCTTGTTTTGTGAGCTTACTAATGGATAATAAATTGCAAGCTAGATAAAGCATATGTAACACATGCTCTAATTTCATAACATCAGAAATAATTACACTCCTAGTTCCTGCTATTGTTGTGGAAGACCCATTAGCTGTACTAATTGTCTCATTCCTAACACTAGGGACATATGTGTGAAACACTGTGGAATCGGAGGTCATATGATCTATTGCCCCAATATTCACAATCCACTTGAAGTTACTAATAGTAGTGAGATATGCACTATTACCTTTATGAGTTACAGAAGCAGTATGATTTGATTTCTAGGCTTGATTATTCTTCTGAAGCATATTGAGCATCTCGTGTAACTTACCTAGTTCCTCCTTATCAACTTGAGGCATCTGAGCTATTGGATCTGATTTGTCTGGTGGTAGGTCATTAGATGTTTGGTACCAAGGCCTTTGCTTTTCGTGGCTTTCAATCAGCTGGTTTGCTATGAATGCCCCAACAAGTCTCACAGGTATGACCCACCTTTTTGCAATGGTCATACTTGACCTTCCCTTTCTGATTCTTTTGGGTTGTATTACCACTCTGGCTTACAAGTGCAGTAGACTCTAGAGGAGTGGATGGAGTAGCAAAAGTTCCAGAAAGCGTTACCTTACGTCTAGTCACCTCACGGCGAATCTCAGAAAATACTTCCCTTGTTGATGGGAGTGGTGTACGACGCAGAATTCATCCCCTTACATCATCTAGCGATTGGTTGAGACCAGCAAGGAATCAAAATACACGTCCATTCTCAATTTGCTCTCTAAGCGAGCATCATCAGTGCTACTTGACCATTCTACCTCTGTCATCAAATCTAGCTCTTGCCACATAGAGTTTGGCTCCAACCAGAACGCCGTGACCTCATGATCTCCTTGTTGGAGTGTCCAAGTCCTTGTTTTAAGCTCGTATGGTCTCTCTAAGTCTTTTCGATCAGAGTATGAATCTCGTGCAGCCTTCTAGATTTCATGAGCAGAAGAAAGAAACGTGAAACTTTGCTGAATTTCTGGTATCATCGTGTTTATAAGCCACGACGATACCAGTGCATTGTCTGTGTGCCATCGCAGAGCTTCTTGCATCTCAGATTCATCAGGGACTTTAGATGAGCCATTGATAAAGCCTATCTTCCCCTGCTTCCAATTGCTAGTTTCATAGCTTGAGCCCACATGCGGTAGTTTGCTCCGTTGAGTTTGACAGTGACGATATGCATCGATGATCCTTTGTGGCTGGTAGTTGACCCAAAGAGACCAGCAACTGCCCTGTTCGGATCAGTTTTTGAGGACCCATCACTCTTCGACATTGATGGAGTGTAAGTTGGGTTCAACTCGTTCTTGATGCTTTCAGAGTCAAGCTATTCTGCGTCGGAAGTCACAGGTGAAAGCTCTAATACCATGTAGCGATTCACTGTATAAAACTGCGTATATTGACCGAAAGAGAATATACAGATATATACAAGTATGCAAATATCTCTTCGAGAATCATGGAGCTAGAATCAGATCTGGGTATCGCACAATATCTCCAAAATAAATACTCAATTATCTCCCTGATATCTACCCGAAATATACTTGTAATAATATATACAATTAATATTATAATAAGTATTAGGTCTGACCACAATATATAAACATGCACAGCTGTATTAGTTGTGGGTTCGGTGGTTTTTGGTATGTAAATTGATTTGTCGTGGTTGCGTTGCTAGTGGGAGTGGGATAAAAATACATTGGTGAGGGAGGGAGAAATACTTGTTGTAGGGCAGAAGGGTCATTTCACTTTTTTTATCTTTGGGATGAAAACAAAACTTCATTCCATTATTTTCTATGTGCTGCCAAAAAAAATTCATGGTGGTCAATATTCCATTATTTTTCATTCTCTCTATTCATTATCATTCCATTATAATTCTTTTTGGGAACTAAATGGGCTTTGATGGTTGCAATTTCAGCTACCTACCATGGAGAAGTGGCCATGATCCATTCCAAAGATCTACATAGAGCCTTTAGCAGCAAGATGGGCCTTTTGGTGGTCAATAATTTAAACCCATACATATCTTCCATTTCATTAATATAGTTTGTTTCCACAAACAGTGAGGAGGGATTCTTATTTGAGGGATTGAAATAATGGACATTGAGGATACGAAGGCATGATACGGTAATCATAAACAATGGTAACTCAAAAAATTATAACTCAGTTGACAACAGGAAAACCATCATCTGAAAACAAAGTTGGAGTTGGTGCAGCTACAGGAATTGTGCTGGAATCATTATCCATGCTCACCATCTAGACATGAGTGTGCCCTGCTTACAGTTACTCTTGTGCCTGCTTTATTTACGTTTTTGAAAATAATTGTTTGGCAATGAAGGACAATGGTAGCTAAAAACACTATAAATAGTATGGGGAGTATGACAAGAACAAGAACCTTTTAAAATAACAATAGGAAAACAATTGTTTGGAAACAAAATTGGAGTTGCTATTGGTACAGGAACTGTGCATGATTGATTAGGGTTGCCCATTCATCAGCTTGATTATGCCCTGTGTACAATCACTCTTTTGCTTGCATATTTACATTATTGAAATAATAATTTGGCAATGAAAACTTTTGGATAAACAGGATAACGACTAACTCGATCTGTTCCCATCCCTACCTTTCTTTTGTTCTCAAGCTGATTTGGTTTTATTACTATCCTGAAAGTGGTGATAGTTACAATGTCTCTCTTCCTTTCTATCACTCCTTTCTTTTCATTTACTAAATTTATTGCATCTTAGAAACTCATTTATTTCATACAACTGAAGCCGCCATGAAAGTTCAGCTTCTCACTTATATTTTATGCTTAATATGTTCTCCAGTTTATTTAGGCTGGTCTTTTGTCCCTAGTTCAGTTAGTAATTACATTGTATCTGTTGTCTAACTTTTACTTCTGATTAAGATGCTGCGGACCGTGGTTGAGATGTAATGCAATATTTTTTGGGTGATTACTCATTAATTGAAGTAATTTTGCTTAAGGTTAATACTTTTAGATAAAAATCCGTCATTTCATTCCAGATAATTTGGTTCTTGAAGTACATGATTGTGAACTTGTTACATCATATCATACGCTTTAAGATGCTGTATTTAAATGTGGAGTTGTTTTGTTACAATTTAAATGATGGCCTATTTTCTTTCTATCAAATAATTTTTATGATTAATTTCTTGGGCTGAAGATGGTTTGTTGTTTTCCTTGTCAGCCAATCAAAAGGAAAAAAGAAGGTGAAGAGAAGAAAATGACACAAGAGGAAATGCTTTTGGAAGCTGCTCAAACAGGTTTGAACTATAACACTAGAACTATTGTATGATTGTTTGAAAATTGTTAATTTGTGAAGATGCTTATAATTTCAGTTGAAACTAATTTTACTTTTCAGAGATCATGAACATACGAAATTTGGAGCGTGTTTTAGCTAGAGAGGAAGAAGTTAAGAGGAGGGCAATTGTTCATAAGGCTGTCTACAATGGCCCACAGTGTCGATACATATCAAAAGATGGCAAGAAATTTTTAATGCATGATGATATTGTCTTTAGACGGTGCATTTTTGGTGCAATGGATTTGGTAACATTGACTTGTGTTATTCATATGAAAACCTGTAAATTTCTTCAGGCTTTTCATATTTAGAGTTCAGCAAGGGCTTGTCATTTCAGTCTGAAATATCGACAACATCTGTACCTTGTGAGTCCATCTTATGCTTCACTTGCAGTTTGAATCTTGACAGTAGCATTGGTGCACATTCATGTAATAGAGTATGTGAATGTGGTTTCTTGATCCGTGAATTTATAGTGTGCAAATTAAAGTCCCAGCTTTGTCATAAAAACTGCCGGCAGCTTTGCTTTTATCATCTTTGTTTCTGATAAGATGTTCTTATGCTGTGTTTTTGTATTTATTTCTTTTACCATTGATGACATTTTTATTTGTACCAGAAAATATGCCATTGCTTTTGGCAATATCTTTCTGAGCTACTTGGATATTTTATTTATTTATTTTGCAAAGAATCCCTTAGGAATGCTGACTAAATTCTATATACCTTTTGCAAAGACTAAAAAGACCTGAACAATGAATAATCATCCTTAGCAAACTAACAACTCTTTCAGAATTCTCACTGGTTGTCATTCTTTTATGTTGACCTTGGACTGTTCAATGTGGGAACGGCTTTGATAAGTTCTGTATTTAACCTGTTCTGTTCATTGAGCAAAGCATAAACTAAATTACTATTATCATTTTTTTTTCATCTTTTTATTTATTTCTTTGATCTTATATTTTTTCTCAGATCCGGAGAAATCTGTTTGTGCAATTACAGGTTTGCCGGCCAAGTAAGTGATCATGTTCCGATTTGATAATTCCTGTTTCATTGTTCTTCCTATTTTGGATGTAAGAGAAATGCATGAGAGTTTTTGTTTTGTTGTATGTGTGACTGTTGCTTCTAGACCTAGTAGAAATGGTTTGGAGACCTTGCTCAGTAGCATTGTTTTTTTTTTTTTTTGCATATTTGGCAAATATGGTGGTGATAAGAAATAGTGATTATGGCCATGGATAGCTCCACTTTGTGCATTACTAGCCATGTAGTGCTAAAGTATAGATATTAGAGCCCAAGAATTATTTAAAAGTTTGTAATTTTTTTTTTATAGGAATGTCTTGGCTCGATCCTTGAAGGGTACATTGACTGAGGGCCTGTTATGGGTTTCCATTTAATTAAATCGGTGCAGAAGAGATTAGAAATAGTTAAGAAATCGGATGGCTAGAGCATAATCATGAGAATAGATTGTTCCATTTGCTTGTGATTTGAATGTCAGAACTGATTATAATAATGATTACCCTGCTTATGTCTGCCTTCACTATTAACTGAAGCTCCTGAAAGACTTACCTTTGTCTATAGCCATTATATCACTTGTTCTTAATGCATTGTCATTGGAAGAATGTAGGTACCGTGATCCACAGACTGGGCTGCCGTATGCAACACTTGAAGCTTTTAAAATAATTCGTCAATGGTATGTATATTCTGGATACTTAGGTCCTTTTTGTTTATCAGAATGGAATGGATTAAAAAATAAAGGTAAAAATAAGATGACGAAAGGGATAGGTGAGCACATTTATGAGGAAAAGGGGTAGTTTAGTGCATGGAGTTGAAAATCATGATTCATGAGATTTTTAGAGAGTGTGATAATTTCCGCATTTGTAGTATATATTAATGACTTTTATCATGTTTTTCATGAGGAAAGTGTGATAACAAGTTTTTGTGGAACTTGTGCGTGGTAAAAGAATTTGTAGTTTGCCTGGTTGGAGAAGAATGCCTATCCTCAAGGACAATTCTGTCTTTAAATCTGTTATAGGATACAATTATTGCAATGTTTTCTCCCTCGTGCTTTGTGCATGGCCTTTTAGGATTTCACTATTTCTGAATTTCAAGGATACTGGACAACTGTTCTTTATGTCTAGTTTTTGTAGAGCTTTTTGTTTGGTTTGTCTTTTTCGAGTTCGCACTTTTTTTTTTTTTTAATTTGAGGAGTTCTCATCCTTGACTTTTTCGATAATATTTGTCTTGAATTTTAACAGTTTCTTCTTTTGTCCAAAGCAAAAAGGCTCATGGTTTGTTTCCTTTTCTGTTTATTCCTAATTCCGGAGGACATCTGATCATCCTGTTCTTTTACTGTTATTCCTGTAAAATTTATTCTTTAAAATAGTATATACTTTCAAGTTTTATTTTGACTGGGAAGTAGAATACTTGAGCTTTGAAGTTGATGCCAATAAGCTGAGATGTAACATTCATGGGGAATAATATGAAAAACTAATACTCAACTTCTATTGTTTAGGTCTTCATCGTAATTACCCCATGTGAAATATCTTGATACATTGCTTTAAAGTCCTTTGTACATATGGTGAGGTGGCTTTTGGCTTTGTGATTGAGATGTTCATCGAACAATAATGTGGGACACATTTCCAAGCTGATTATAATATGAAATGGTGAATTACATGTTCGTTCACATTTATTGTGGGATATATTCTGAATCACGTAATTAAATTGCCTTTATGCAGCGCTTCAAATGAAAAGGCTGGCACTAGGAAAGAAATGAACATGGGGTGCTTGCACGACTCACTTTTTGGACAAGGTTTTTCTGTCAAGCAAAAGAGATCAATAATGCCAAATAAAAATGGAGATTCTTTTCTACATTCAGCATACTTCCGTAGATTTCTTGTTCCAGAAGATGAAGTATCTGACTAGGTGCTCAGGTAAGTAACTTTTTGAAGGAATGGCCCTAAAGGCCTTAAAAAGTAAGAATTTTATAGATAAGGCCTAATAAAATCTGAAATTATTTTGAGGGTCTATAGGTTTTATTTGCAATTATATTTTTTTAGTGAAATGATCAATTTGTCCTTCTCATAATCAGTTGTTGAATGATAATTTTTTCTTCTTCCTCTATTCTTCCTCCCTCTTCCTACTCTCTCTTCTTCTTTCAACACTGATGCAATAATTAAAGTGATTTTTCTCGTCATCATGCTTCTCTATTCCCTTTCTTCAATAACTAAATTCATTTTCCTCCTCATCATGCTTCTCTATTCCCTCTCTTCTTCCTTCTTTCTCTCATTTGAAGCTTTTTTGTTCAACAGGTATGAGTGGATGATTCACTTTTATTCAAATGATTATGAAGAAGACGATCAGACATTCGTCCGATTACATTCCTTTCACATCAACTAGCTTCTTAAAACGATCTGTCGTAGTGTGAAAAGAATGGATCAAGTGCTACATTTGCCATTATCAGTTTTATTTTTTAAAAAAAGAATATAGAGAGAGTTTGAGCCATATGAGTTTTATCTAATTATAATGTATGTGTTCACGTTCATTTAATGAAAACAAGTTATTATTTATAAAATTTTTGTTGTTTCTGATATATGTTTTTTTGTAACTGATAAATGTTGTAGTGTAGATGTTATTTATGAAATTTATGTTGTTATTTATGGAGTTTATATTGTGCAAACTTTGTAATTAACTTGTGCGGATATTTTTGTGTATCATATCGACAAACTTTGTGTTGTAAATATATGAATATTGTGTTATTAGCAAGTGGATACTTTCATGTTATATATGGACTTTTTATTTTTCATAAACTTGAAAATTTTTTTAAATGTTTAGTTTAATTACACAAATTATGTGAAATAGATGGACATTGTATTGTTAATAAATGGACCTTGTCATGTTATATATAGACTTTTTATTGTTCATAAGCTTAAGAAATTTTTTGTTAAGCATAGCCAACTGATAAATTGGACACTCATAGATTTTCAGTTTAAAATATATGAAGATTGTGTTGTGCATGGTGAATATTGTGTTGTGCATTGTTTGCTTAACTGTGCATTTTGTCAAACTTAGCTACTGATAAAGTAAAATTTTATGGACTTTTAGTTGAGAATAAATGAGCTTTATATTGTGCATAATAGATACTGTTTTATGCATTGTTTGCCTATTTGTACATTTTGTTAAGCTTAGCTTATTGACAAAGTAGAATTGTATGGACTTTTAATTGAGGATATATGAATTTTAAGTTGTGCATAGTGGATATTGTGTTATACATTATTTGCTTGCTTGTATATTTTTTCAAGTCAGCTTACTGATAAAGTAGAATCTTATGGACTTTTAGTTGAGAATAAATGAACCTTATATTGTGTATAGTGAATATTGTGTTATGTATTGTTTGCGTATTTATACATTTTGTTAAGTCTTGCCTATTGATAAAATAAAATCGTATGGACTTTTAATCAAGAATATATGAATCTTATGTTGTGCATAGTGGATATTTTATTGTGCATTGTTTGCTTACTTGTATATTTTGTCAAGCCTAACTTACTGATAAAGCAGAAATTTATAGACTTTTAGTTGAAAATAAATGAACCTTATATTGTACATAGTAGATATTGTATTATACATTGTTTACTTATTTGTGCATTTTGTTAAGCCTAACCTACTAATAAAGTAGAGTTGTATGAACTTTTAATTGAGAATATATGAACTTTATGTTGTGCATAGTGGATATTGTGTTATGCATTATTTGCTTACTTGTATATTTTGTCAAGCTTAGTCTATTGATAAAGTAGAATCTTATGAACTTTTAGTTGAGAATAAATGAACCTTATATTGTACATAGTAAATAGTGTTATGCATTATTTGTCTAACATCAGTATTTTGTTAAGCCTAGCATAATGATAAATTAGAATTACATGAACTTTCAAGTGAGAATATATCACAAACTTTTTTTCTTACAACCGTCTTTAACTAGCCGTCCTCCCGGGAGGCCATGAACAAGGAGGATAGAGTTTTTCAAGATAAGAAGATTTATCATTGTTGAAGATGTGGGGAGGTTGGACATAATCGCAAGATATGTAAGAATCCTAATTCAACATGAGAAGTGGTTACATTATACTTTTTTGGTATACATAAGCAACTATAATTATATATATGGAAGCATTTCTAAATAATATTTTTTGGGTAATTGAGAATCACAAATATTTTTTGTTTGTATATGGAGAAACAACTGTTAGATATTTTGGATATAGTGGCTAACTTTTTGTATATCAGATTTGAAATATTGTGTCAAATTTCATGTGGACACTTATTTTAGTACCTAGGCTAATACCAACATGAAATTATTCATATATGATATAATTATCTTTTTTAATATTGAAAATGTATACTTTCTGTTGAGCATGCGTGAACAACGTTTTGTGCATAATGAATGTTGTGTTGTGTATGGTTTACCTAACGTCATTTTGTTATAGCCTAGGCTAGTAAAATACTGAAGATGTATGTATTTTTTTATTTAGCACACGTGGATATCGTATTATACATAGTGAATGTTGTGTCGCGCATGGGTTGCCTAGTCATTTTTGTTAAAGCCAAGGCTAGTGAAATACTTGAAATGTATGAACTTTCTGTTGAGCATGCGTGAAACATTGTCTTGTGCATAATGAATGTTGTATTGTGTATGGTTTATTTCATTGTTTTGAGAGTTTATGCAAGTTTTAAATTCAAACAAAGAGAAAAACGTACTTTTGATCTTAAGAAAATTGGCAATAAGGGCCTCAAGGCCTGCAGAATAATATCAGATTTATTTAAGCCCAAATTATAATAAAATCTATTTTTAAGACCTTTAATACCATTCCCCTTAACTTTTTCCCCCTTTTTGATTCAATTATTAATGGTTATACTTATTATCTGCTTTCTTGTAAACTATCATGACCCAACTCATTTTGAAGGCTTTTTTTGAGTTAGTGCTTGGGTTGTTTTCATTATTTTTTCTTTGGGTTAAAGACCTAATTTACCTCTATTTTTTTAAGGGAGTGCTATGTCATGAAGCCATTATTCTTTCCTTAAAAAGTTAATTCAGTGGGGTGTGCAGTGTATTCACTTGTATGCCTAGGACCCTTTTCAAGCCCCTCCGGTATGAGACATAACAGTTGGGTACTTTGTAATGAAGGGTGTGACAATATCCCCTCCTAAATAATGTTTTTGAAGAGTAATATTACCCCTTCGTTAAATATTTTTTGATTTTTTTTACCAAAAAGTTTTTGTTGATTTGACAGATAGTTGATCTAAAAAATTACAAAGGACTTAAAAAATTGATGAAAAGGACTTCATAAAAAAAATAATACTAATTTTATAAATATCTTTATTAAGGTTATTTTTTATTATTTTTTAAGTTATTCTTTATAATTTTTTGGATCGACTAACAGTCAAATTAAAAGATATTTAATAGAGGGTAATACTACTCCTTTAAAAAACTGTTTAGGGGGTATGAGGTATCTTGCATTCTCCATTTGCACCTTCATCGTGTATTGCTTTCTTTTCTCAGCCACAAATTTGTTCGTCTTTCCAAAAGGAAAAACCTCATGGACTCACTGACACAGAAGTTAACCAAGCCAGCAAACCTTCAAACTGACCATTTTTCCACACCACACTATGAAGATTGGGATCGGTTGGCATGATCAAACCTCGTTCACACAGGGTTTGAGTATCTTTCTGGGGCCAGCGTTCCAAAGTTCCGCTGAGCTAGACCCAAAAAAGACGTGTCACTAGAAAGTGAAACAAAAGATGTTGATGCCGAGGGTTATCCATTAGCTCTCATATCGTAGTCATTGATACGGTGTAAAAACTCGAGAGGAAACATTGAGAAAACTCTAGAATTGAGAATGCGATATTGATAATATTGACTTGCGCAAAAATTGCATTTGTAGAAAGTTTATATCTCTATGCAATAAATATCACAACTATGTACGACTGTCTCATCCTGGCTTGAATCTTCCTAGGGTTTTACTCATCTTCACACTTATGACTGGTGTGGCTGTCCCACAGTTTTAGTACCTGAACTTTGTGTGACTATAACAACTTAAAAAAAGAAAAAATAAAAACATGCTTGGGCAGTTCATGTTAGTTCATTAAAGCACCTAGTAAAATGACTAATATGTACCAACAAAGGTAGATGTGAGTGATAAACAAAGGTTGATCTAGTTGGTAATGAGTTGGCCTATGACTTATAAAATTATGTGATCAAGTCTTGCTATTAATGTAAGGGTCTTGTTGATGAGTGATTTATAAGTATGTTTGTAAGCACTTTGAATTTGAAAGCATGTTCTAATCCTAGTAAATTGGGACCCAGCTCACCTAAACTTCTTGCTAATAAAAAAAGTGAGAATATCAACAAAAGACCTTGGAAGCAATTTAATTTAATAGAAGGACTACTAACAGTTACCTTTTAACAATTAACAATTGAAGTTTTGGTTTTAACAGGTATTTGATTTGTCTAGGTTTTTATTAGATATTAAATTCTTTTAAAGGTTCTTCATTGATATTCTCCCTAAAAAAAAATTAAGTTAGGGTGAGTAGCAAGGGCTGTTATCACTTAAGGCCTATGCAATTGGTTGGAGGTTCAAATCATAATTGTTGCGTATGTAGAGAGAGATTTACCTTATACTCTCCATACATTGAGGGAAATAATCTCTATTATCAGTAAAGCCTACTTGTTACGTTTACGAAAAAAAAAGTGATTAATATATATTATTTGAATAAGTAAATTGTTGAGTTGGTCTGATCACAAGGCCTAACTTTTTTATGATATAATCACAAGGCTTAACTTCTTTATTATCTTACCAAATTCTTTTTGAGTTGTTTTCATTATTTTTTCTTTGGGTTAAAACCTAATTTACCTTTGTAATTTTTTAGGAGTGTTGGATGCCTATTAAGGTTGTGACAATATTTCCCCTTAATAATTTTTTTATGGAGTAATATTGCTCTTTTGTTAAATATCTATTGATTTGACTGTTAGTTAACTCAATATTATAGAAAATGACCTAAAAAATTTATAGAAAAAAGCCTTATATGAAAATTCATATTGATTAAGCCCTTCAATTAGAAATAAATTTCAATAGATTAATGTTATTATTTACCCATATAAAATATGAAAATATATATGTAACTTAAGTGACTTAGTTAGTATTAATTTTCTTCTAAAGTTCATTTTCTTTAACTTTCTAAGTCATTTTGTATAATTTTTTTGGATCAATTAACAGTCAAATTAAAAGATATTTAATAGAGGCAATATTGATACATAAAAGAATTGTTCAGGGACTATTGCCCTATTTTTTACTATAAGGTTCCAAGAGTTCCTAGATAAAAAAAAGTTTAGGAATGAATTAGGCCTTTAACTTTTTTTTTTTCCTCCTTTTGTATGAGTAGGATATCTTTCATTCTCTATTTGTAGCTTCGTCTCTCCAAAAGGAGAAACGTCTTGGACTCACTGACATAGAAGCTAACCTAGCCAGCAAGGCTTCAAACTAACCGTTTTTCCACAACACTGTATAAGAATTGGATCGGTTGGCATGA